GCGCAGTAAAGTTTTAGAAAAATACAAAATCAAAGCTGGTTGCAGAGAGAAGTTAAAGGAGAAAAGACTGTAATTAAGAAATAGACACCAGTGAACTGGCGTCTATTAACAGGCATAGTTTCAAGTTGGAAGAAATGGAAATTGTGTTTAGAGTTGGTGCTTAATATATTGATTTTGGAAGTATAGCAGTTTGAGATTGTAATTTAATTATGGAGTGAGTGGCTTGTATGGGAGAGTGCATATAATTATTAGAGTCAATAAGAATTGAGAACAGAGTCTGTGTATTAGGATTAGATTTGCTTTCTTATTGCTGAAAATCTAAAATAACAATAGCTAAGTTAGATAAGGACTCATTCCCTCATTTAAAACAAAGTCTGATGTTGTCAGTACCCAACGTGTGTCAATTCCATGAAGTTATCAGGGACCCAAACACTTTCCAATTTCACATCTACAAGCCAACACATGATTACCATTTCCAAGGTTGCCTTGTGGTCTAAGATGTCTACTAGTGTTTCAGTCATACCATTTCTGTTTTAGACAGCAGGAAGAAGAGGGAAAGGGTCAGTAAGATCTTTCCCCTCCTGTCATTTCCCCTTTAAGATTACTTCCAGAATTCTCTCCCAACAACTTCTGACAACATAGCATCAGTCTTAGTTGAATGGCCATATGTGGCTTTGAAGAATACTGGGAAATGTACTATTTGACTAGGTACATTACAACCCCCCCTTAATAATGTAGGGATCTCATTGGCAAAGAAGGTAGGAAGAAAGAATGTGAGCGAGCAGTTAGTAGTCTCTGCCACAAGTATTGATTATCCATGTGAACAGCCAAATTTTCAAGATGATGGAAGGACAAGGAAGGACCTTGAGGTCCTTGGTCAATGACAAGAATTAACAAGATCAAGTGGAAGACAGGGGCTTGAGCTTTAGGTCAGACATTGAGAGAATACTGTAAGTAGCAGTGGGATGCAAAGAAAAAAACCAATCATACTTGCTAATCCTGACATAGGAAGAATTATGTAAGAGAATTTCTTCAAGTGACATCTAGGGTTTAGTTAAGACAAAGAGGGAGAGGAATCTGAGGAGATACAGGGGATATTGCTGATTATAAAGCAGTAATTTCATGTAATATGGTAAAAGAATGGGGCCCTGAGGAAGAGGTATGGGGTAGGTTGGGGTAAGAAAATATAGTTTATAGTTGAGGGGAGTAAGGATGTAATGAGTAATGATTCTTAACCTTATGATCTCCTATCCATATGAGTTAAATTAATCTCTAATATATAAATTATATATTATATATATTGATGCACAGATACTATATTCTAAAAATACTGCATGTATTTTTTTTTAAAGATTTTATTTATTTGAGAGAGAGAGAATGAGAGAGAGAGCACATGAGAGGGGGGGAGGGTCAGAGGGAGAAGCAGACTCCCCGCTGAGCAGGGAGCCGGATGCGGGACTCGATCCAGGGACTCCAGGATCATGACCTGAGTCAAAGGCAGTTGCTTAACCAACTGAGCCACCCAGGCACCCAAAATACTGCATGTATTATTAAAGATACAGAAACATAGACATTTTTAAAGAATGATTAAAAATTATCAGTAGAAATGCTAAGATTTTCTTTCCTACACTCTAGCCAGTCCCTGGGATCATGTAGGTCCCAAGGGCGCAGTTTCAATATAGCATAGGGTAGGGACTCTGTTAGGGGAAATATGAGTAACCTGGCATGGAATTGATCCCTACTCTCAAGCAGAAGCCTTCCTCTTAAAAATAAGATCAAGAACGCATAAAATTCTTGGTAAAATTTTGGTAATACAGTAAGACATAGCAAGATTAAATTTGGAGGACGTTAAAGCATATTATCAGTGGAGATACTGTCATGTGCTAGAGATGGCATTTGATCTGTGATCTGAGCAAATCAAACAGCCAGGAAACATAAAAAGTAAAAATATGCAGGGGCACTGGGTGGCTCAGATGGTTAAGCATCGGACTCTTGATTTCAGCTCAGGTCATGATCTCAGGGTCTTGGGATGGAGCCCCGCATTGGGTTCCGCGCTCAGTGCATAGTTCGCTTGTCCCCCCCCCGCTTCTTCCCCCACTTGCACGCGCGCATTCCCTCTTTTTCTCTCAAATAGTCTTTTTAAAAAGTAAAAATATATTAAAGAGGGAACCACAAAATCATTAGAGAAAGGAAGGATCATTTATTAAGTGTATTTGAGATAGGTGCCCGTAACTTGTGGAGGAGAGGAAATGCGAGTTAAAGAGTTAAATTTGAAAATTTAAAACCATAGGAAAAACTAGAAAAATCATGTAATTGAATATCTGGTCGCTTGGAGAAAGAACTTTCCCAAGCTTAGAATTTACAGGGGGGGAAAAAAAGGAAATAATAACTTTGAGTACATAAATATTTCAAGTCTCTGTGTTTTAAAACAGATTCAGAAATTGAAAGATGGCATATTTGCAGCCAATATGTTTGTTTTCCAAAGAGTTCATGTGATGCACTATAGAAGAAGAAATGCAACAAAAACCCTGGGAGAAGAAATCTGAACAGCTCACAAAGAGGAAGTGTTGGGGAGTTTAGTCACAGATCTAAGAAGAAAAGGACCTAAGACAGGCACAGATCTTGAACAGCTCAAAAGAGATGTGACTGGTTTAAAAGGAGAGGGTGTTCAACCATGCTTTAAGAGGTGTGGGGGATGGGGAGGTGGGGAGAGATCATTAAAACCTTATAGACAAATGGGTAAAGGACCTAGCCATGTTGCTAAAAAAATATATGACTGGTTAAAAAAAGAAAGAAAAAAAATTTGGTCACATTTGTTATCAAAGCAGGAGACATTTAAAATGAGTGGGTTTTTCTGTTTTTCAAATTAGAATTGGTCTTGGGTCAAAGTGATACCCTGTGCTGGCTGGTATGCAGAGAAAAAAAAAGCACTATGCTTTTTATACTGTGTGGCAATGTAAATCTGTACAGTACTTTTGGAACTCCCATTTTTCTTCTCTTGTTAATGATATGTGAAAATAAATACATTAATAAATTAAATATCAAACTCTGTAATATGAGATAGTCCTAAAAGCCTGAGTATTAAAAAGTAGTATCTTCAGATAAAGCTTTTAAAATTAAAAACACGATAAATAACTGTGTATCATGTATATCTTAATATATTTTTAAAGAAGATATCATTGAGTAGGCATAATTGAATTGGAAATCTTGAGAGTAACTAGCAGATACCAAGCTATGTTATAAAGCTCTAGTAAATAAAGCAGTGATAGGCCAGTAGACTAATGAAGCAGGATAGACAATATACAGAATTGGGCCCTTTTATCCCGTGGAAGCTTAATATATGATAATGAATGATAAAAGTGGCATTTAAATCAGTGGGGCAGAATGAGCTATTCTTTCATCCATGTATTTATCTATTCAGAAAATGTTTATCGAAGGCCAAGCACTATCCTACATGCCAAGGGTACATCAGCAAACCAAATAGATTAAAATCGCCATCATCACAGAATTTAAATTCAAGTTGGAGTAGAGATGGTGGATAAATAAGTAGAAGATGATTACTTGCTGAGAGAAAAGTAAAGCAGGGAAGGGGGATAGTGTTCACAAGATCTCATTTGAGGGGAAAAACATTATATCCCTCCTTTATACTGTGTAAAGAACTACCACAAGGCAATTTGTTGAAAAGCAGACAACCCAATAGAAAATTTGGCAGACGGGACACCTGGGTGGCTCAGTCCTTAAGCATCTGCCTTTGGCTCAGGTCATGATTCCCAGAGTCCTGTGATCGAGCCCCGCCATAGGGCTCCCTGCTCGGCAGGAAGCCTGCTTCTCCCTCTCCCATTCCCCCTGCTTGTGTTCCCTCTCTCTCTGTGTCTCTCTCTGTCAAATACATAAATAAAATCTTTAAAAAAAAAATTTTTAGCAGTTTTTTTTCTTTTATTTTCATAGCTACTCCTAATTCGTTAAGATGGATATAGAGCTATCCAGTAAATATGCAATACATTTTTAGTAGTGAAAATGAAGTACCATGTAAAATCTTGACACTGATAAGTTTAATAATACCAATTGTTTTTTTGTTTGTTTTGTGGGTTTGGAGAAATGGTGCTTGCATATGTTGGAGATATAACTGCATATTGGTAATCTGTTTTGGAGGACAGTTTAAGAGTAGCTCTCAAAAGTGAAAAAGATACACATACTATGACCTGGGTATTACATTTCTTTCTTGGTATTTGCCTCCAGGAACTCTTGAATGTGTGCACAAGAAGGTATGGTAACACAACAAGATTTGTAGTAATGAACATCTGGGAACTACCTAAATGTGCTTTCATTAGAATGATGTGTCCATAGCGCTGTCACAGATTTCCAGGACATATTTGGAGAATGTAAGAGTAAATTACAGTGGTATGAACACACCAATGGTAACAATTACCAGCAAACCTTTCACAGCCCCTATCACTGGAAAAGCTATTAGGATCATGGTGTCACAGAGGTTTTTTTTAGATTTAGCCTTCTCTCTAATGTTTTTATTAACTTTTTTAAAAGGGTATATATATACATTTTGTATATATAAAAATAACTAAAATAGTTCTCCCTGTTAGCCTCAGCTCAAATTATGTTTCCCAGTCTTCTAGCTCATATTACATATTTTATCAGTATCACTTTCAGGCACTGGTAAGTGCTCTTGTACATGTCATTTTTCTGATTGCCTTAACTTGCCAATTACAGGTCTTTTTGACAGCTTAGGTTCTGGTCTTTTCTTTCTGCCAAAAGAGAAGGCCTTACTTCTTGATTTAAAAAAAAAAAATTGCTATTATCATGAGTCTGTTTCATTCTTTGGATAATATCTGTGTGTTCTTTATTTTTGTAAATAAGATCCATAGTAAACCAAAGTTTTATTTTTAAATTCACTTAAATTTTAAGTTATTTATTAGAACATGTATTTTAAACATTCAGTAATGGAAATTGTTCAAGTCATCTCATTTTTCTTTTTTTTTTTTTAGGTCGTTTATATGCAATGCAAACTGGAATGAAGATTGATAGTAAAACTCCTGACTGTCGTAAATTTTTATCAAAGCTAATGGATCAGTTAGAAGCTGTAAGTTAAACACTGATCATTTATTTTCTGATTAATGTTTTAAGTGGCACTTTATTATATTTGTGTATGTGTATTTTGCCATTTTAGTTCTTCCTCTTGGCAGCCATCAAGCCATGTCATTACAGCTGAGGAAAAGCTAGACACAGTTTTTTTTTAAGGATTTTATTCAATTACTTGGCACAGAGAGAGAGCACAAGCAGGGGGAGTAGCAGGCAGAGAGAGAGGGAGAAGCAGGCTCCCTGCTAAGCAGGGAGCCTGATGCGGGGCTCTGTGCCAGGGCCCTGGGATCATGACCTGAGCCGAAGGCAGATGCTCAACTGACTGAGCCACCCAGGTGCCCTGACACAATTTTTTCATTTACATCTTACTGCTAAGGGAGTTGTAAGAATAAGTTAAAGTAGATTTCAGTGTCTTTGCATATACCACTATATCTTGTTATCGTAGATGTTATTATAGATGACCTTTGAGTCATTCTTTTGTAAGTGACAAACGCTTTGTAGTCTACTTCATACAGTCACATGGATGATTGATTTGGGAATTCTTAAATAGCTCTTACAATAATGAAATGGGCTACTTATTTAGTGAAAGGGACAACAAAGGAAATGGTATCAGTTGCCTATAGTCTCTTTGTCTCACTCTTGGTACCAGGACAAGATAATTTTATGGTCCAGGCATTCTTCCCTGCTAGCAGAAATGTGGTAGGTGATTAAAGTATGAGTCACCTTCTTGAACCATGATATAATTTCACAGGTTATATAGAGACAGCAATCCAGAGAAAATTGAATGGGTTGGACTGGGTGTTAGTGCAGGCAGGCATGGGTAGCCATAGTAATACAACTTAATAATCAGGACTCCACCCTGTCCTCCCCTGCCCAGCTGTCCTGGTTTTTCTTTTAACAATGTCAGGGTCTACTCCTCATTAATGTATTTCTTTAGAGGCTGTTATATTAATAGCTGCAGCTTTTTATTTATTTAATTAGTATGTGACCTGCTCAAGAGAATTAGAAACCTAAATATTTTGACTAGTTGAATAATTTTGTGTGGAGAGACAGAATTTTAGATATATTAAAAATCAAAACATAATAGTCAGCCCAGAGGTTTTATAAATGTTGAAAATTACTCAGATCAAAACCTAGTTACATTAAACAGCCATGGGCAGTAGGGTTCTAACTTGGTATGGGTGTCTGGCCTTCTGACCCAGAGTCCCTGTCACTGCTACTATTAACCATCCATTGGACCTAGTGGCACCGCTGATGGGAATCCAGCTCCCTTGAAGCCTGTCTGTCCTTCCACTTCTAACATGGTTTCTGTAGGTACAGGAAAAATTTGAGTATTCTTTTTTGGAAGGTGAGGTTAGGGGGTAAGAGGAGGAATGTGTCTCACACATAGCAGTACATTTATAAAATCATGTTGCTAACAGACTTTGTATAGAATATCTCTCTTTATTAATTTCACAATATAGCAGTAATAACTAAATACCTTATGGATAAGACAGAACTCAGAATAGTTCTTTATAAAAAGCAAAGTATAAAATCACATTTGTAAAGGGACTCAGCAGGAGTTTATTATTATCTAAATTAAATAACAGGTAAAATAAATCTATTCTATGGTGAGTCTATCCCATCTGCCTGTGCTTTAATATTTAGATTACAGTTGGAAAACTGAGTGTATTATGTTTTTGCTGCCAGATATTTCATGTTGAAGATGAAATGAAGTGACATATTTCCACTTTTTTCTAGAATTAAATCCACTTCTAGAATTAAATCTAGAATTAAAACATTTTATAGTGTGGAAATAGTAAACTAGTGTTACATGTGGAGTTTTTTCCTGCTTTTGTTCAGGATAAGCATAGCTAAAACATCCTTAAATTCCAACATTAAATCTCTTCTGGAACTTAACATTATTCTGTTGTAATTATGAGAATATTTACTTTGCTGATTTTCTGAGGAATCCTGAAGCTTTTTTTAAATTTAATTTTTTAGTTTATAACGTTTTTGAGAAAAGCCCTCTTTAAGCAGTAGTGTGGTACTCCGATCTAATATTCCAGAAAGCCCTTTCATTGTAGAACAACAGTCTGAGTAAGATGTAGGAGCTTTGTTGTGTTTAAAATATTTTTTTTTTTAAAGATTTTATTTATTTATTTGACAGAGAGAGACACAGCGAGAGAGGGAACACAAGCAGGGGGAGCGGGAGAGGGAGAAGCAGGCCTCCCGCTGGGCAGGGAGCCCGATGCGGGGCTTGATCCCAGGACCCTGGGACCACGACCTGAGCTGAAGGCAGACGCTTAACGACTGAGCCACCCAGGCGCCCATGTTTAAAATATTTTGAATTATTATATGTGTAGGAAAAGGATATACTGACTGAAAATTTACAGTTGTGAATTGTGTTAACGAGGTATATATTTGTCTAAATTTTAAAAACTTCTGTAATCCTTTTCTGAGTTTGTGATCTCATACTGTAGAATTATATGTTTTTTTACACAGTATGCTCTGGGCGATACTCTTTTAGGATATAATGATTTCCATAATCATATTTTTTTATATTTGATAGAAGAAATTGAAATGAGAATAAATTAAAATTTTAAATTATGATTAGAGAATTTCCTGATTCCATTTTTAGGATACCTCATAGTATATTGGCTATTACTTTGAAATATTTGTCTGATGCTTTACATAGATTGTTGGATGTGTTATCTTTTTATTCTTGGTTATTTTGATTTTTAGAGTTAAATTATCCTTTCAGGTTATCATGGGTGTGTTTCTTCATAATTTTGTAAACATTGGTTTTTATTCTAAAAAACCTTGGGCTGAGGCAGAGCAGTTTTTGTGAGATTTCATTCATACCTCTTTTACTGAAATGAATATAAAATAATTTTTAAAGTTTAAAATGATTCTTAGGATTGTTTGTACTTAAGCATACATTTCTGTGAGTCCAAAGTCTTAAGCTTTGTATCTGATTTAATTTTAGCTTAAGAAACACTTGAGTGATAATGAAGCTATTACTCAAGAAATAGTTGGTTGTGCCCATTTGGAGAATTATGCTTTGAAAATGTTTTTGTATGCAGATAATGAAGACCGTGCTGGACGATTTCACAAGTAAGTAAAGCAAGAGAAAAATTAAAATTGTACGTTTTATTACTGTGTAACTGGAATTACCCGGTTTTCCATTGGACACTTTCAGACTTCTTAATTAATGATTTAGATTTTTTTTTAATTACTTGTAGAATGTCAAAATGATTTTGGGTACAAGAACAAGCCTGTCTTTTTAGGCTGACAGAAGAATAGCCAGGGCAGATTTATTTTTTCAGTAATTATACCTCAAGTAGCAATTCTTTAACATTTAGTAAAATCTAAGAGTTGATTTTAGCCAGTGACAGCCTGGTGCAGTGATACTGATTTTTTAAATTATCACAACCTGCTAATTCAAATGATTTGTCATTACTTAAATGCAAAGAAACGCACATGGCTTGATACAGGTTCAGATAATACTGTAATTGCTTTTTTTTTTTTCCTCAGAGCGTGTGCATGTGTCGGTGGGGGTTGGAGGGTAGAGGGAGAGGGAGAGAGAGAATCTTAAGCAGACTCCATGCCCAGAGCAGGGCTCGATCTCACAACCCTGAGATCATGACCTGAGCCAAAATCAAGAGTCAGACAATCAACTGAGCCACCCAGCCACCCCTATAATTGCATTTTTTAATAAAAAGTATACTATAAAACCTTGCTATAGTATATTTATTTGTAATATGAATGTTGTTACTTTCTCCTAATAACAGATTACAGAAGGAGTTTCATTGTGTTCTTCAAATCTGATTTTATTTAAAACATTAATTTCAGAGTACTTTTGTAAACACTGGAATTTTTTTTTTCTTATAGTTACATGACTAATTCTGCAGCTTAATGTTTTTCATTTAACTAAACCAGCTTTCTCTTCTCTTTTAGAAACATGATCAAGTCCTTCTATACTGCAAGTCTTTTAATAGATGTCATAACAGTGTTTGGAGAACTCACTGATGAAGTGAGTGTACATTTTTTATTGTTTTGTTAGCCTAAGCTCGGTATTGTTGCTCTTTTTGAGTTTTGTAATCGCATTGCTTCCTTAGAGCAGCATGCCTGTCAGAAATGTAGTAGAAGCAAAAAATGTTATTTTAAATTTTCTACTGGCCACACTTGTAAAGTAAGAAGATGAAATAATTCTTAATAATATTTTATTTTTTGTAGTAAGTTCTTTGAATCTAGTGTGAATTTTACAGTTTAGCAGATGCACAGCTACTGTGTTAGGCAGCACAAGTTTAGGGTTTGATTTTATTAAGTGCTTAAATATTACTAATCCTGTATGCTGTTAAATTACTGCACTGTTACCTGGTAAGTAGACTGGAGGCAGAGGCTTTTGGGACTTTTTTTTCTTAATTTCATTTTTAATCAGAAATATTATGATTTGTTTCATTGTAAAGTACACACAGAACTTGATATTTTCTGAGATACTTCATATCCATTTTAGCATTTTGTTTTTCATAACCTCTAAAGTAAGTAGAGCATATATTCATTTTATACATGAGCAAATTGAGGCTAAGTGACAAACTGAGTTTATTGCTGTGAGTTCAGTGTTGTTTTCACCATAGCATGCTTTACCATTGGCATGGAAAATGTGTTTTTTGAGAGAGATATTAATATAGAAATAGAGAAAAAGCTACAAATGAAACTGATAAAGGCATGTTATATTAATGATTTGATATTTATGAAGAGTATTGCTTTCTGTGACATGATTTTTTTTCCCAAATGATGAGCAGCTCATAGTAAAGTTCCAAATAAAACAAAGTATAATTTATCTATGAGATGTTTACATTTTCATAAAACAATATAGCAAAACTATGCAAAAAAATTATATTTAAAACAAAGTTAAGCTCTGGGCTTGATGATATAAGCTAGGTTTTTGCATTACTGCAAAAGAGATGTGCAGGACATTTCAAGGTTGTGCCCAATGAAAAACGATTTTTTATTATGTGAGACTGTTGCTTTTGTTTCAAAACATCAAGCATCCCCGGCCTTGCCTACACAGCATTTCCCAATCATTCCGCTAACCAGAAACCACCCCCAGATATTTCCAAAACACCCTCTAGGGTATGGGGCAATGCCCGTCGAAAAGTCATGTTTTCTAGTTGCCTTGAGACAGAGCAGTAAAAGAGAAAACTGAGACGTGCAGCATGAAACCTAAAATGCTTCCTAGTGGTTGTACCTTTTTTGTATTCTGAAGGCTCTATGGATCCACTCTGTTTAGCTCCCTCTCTACTCCCGTCTTGTGTTATGGCTGATCTGGAGTTCTTTTTCCTCTGTTTTTCTTGTGTGCAGCACTATACTAGCTACTTGAGGATACAGAAGGGTTTAAACATGATGATGGGGTAGTCCTCTTTAAAGTTTTAGATAGTTAAGTATGGTTTTAGAAAGTACCAGGTAGGGTGAAGGAGAATAGAGTTCAGATTAAAAAATAAGTCATAAGACAGATCAGACAGACTATAAAAGGCCTGGAATCTTCAGTTGGTGGGTTTTTTGAATAAAGAACTATACTCTGGTGTGCTTTGTATGATAGGAATCTGTGGAATGAACTAGGCTGAGGAAGAACTACAAGTCATTTGACAAAAGAACTAGTTAATGATTATTGTGGAACTTTGTACAGGGTGGGTTTTTTATTTGAGGAAAAATAATATGGGCAGACAGATTATAAAATCTGAGGTGTAGATATGGCATCCAAGAATAAGTCAGCACAAGTCTCTTGGAAATAAGAAGACAAGAAATCTGCAAAGCAGAGATGGCAATTCAAGTTAGATTAGACACACCCTCACGTAAGAGGATAGTTTTGAAAGAGAAGATGGTCATGTAAACATCCTGGTAAACACTTAACATTGAAAATGCAAGAGGAAGACGTGCATACAGAAATAAAGAAGTGGAGACACTCAAGATATCAGGGAAGATCATGATACCGCAGAGCGGCAGAGTAGCAGATCCATTTGCCCAGTACTTCCAAGAGGGCTCTCCTTGCATCACCCACCTGCTCTTACTTAGGGAAAGTGCTCCCCCTATCTCAGAAGAAAGACCACGGTCCTTTGAACTTATAGATGCCAACCATGAGGACCCCAGATAATAGGTAAAGTAATAGATACAGGAAAAATAAAATATCTAGAAGTCTTAAGTGAGTAATGCAGGGTTTGCTTTAAAAAAAAAAAAAAACTTAAAAGATACATACATAACATGCATGCATAATTAGCGTGAGGTTCATCTGCATTTCAGAAAAAAATCCAGGTTTATATTTAGGTATCCTTAACAAAGAACAATTTCGTTAGTTATTTGAACATAGCAACTAGGACAGGGACTCTGAATGGGGCAAATGATAGGGCTTCAAAAGGTATGGGGGAGATTGTTTAGGGACTGAGGATGCTAAAGGATATATGTAGCAACAGAGTAAAGGGCCATGTTCCCAGAATGTTGGCACTCTTTTCTTTCCCTGTCTCACCACGCAACCTGCTACCCGAGCTCTTTTACCTTGCACTGGTACTAGGCTAAAGTAGGAAATAGCATCTGTGTTGGTTAAAGGACCCAGCTAGCTGGAAGGGTCTGAAATGGTACAGAGAAAAGAAGTTAGGCATTCTAAGGCCAGCCTGAAAGGGAAGTTCTTGTTGTTATTTGATTGGGGTGAGGTTATTCCTTGGGCCTTCATCATGTAAGATGCCATGTAAGTCGTACATACTTAAATCAAGAAATGTGTGTATGCACAATTAGTGTGTAATTATATGTAGGTGCTTTTCACGAACTTTTTTTGTTCCATTATTTTCCATGTCTGGAAATGGCATCTTCATTGTCATTACTGAGATTTCGGTTTTTCAGAATGATGGTGTGAAATGTCAAATAATTGTAAATAAAGTTCCACTGAGTGGAATAGGGAGAAATCCCACTCTAGCTGTGGCTTTACCAGCTTGTCATCAGTACAGATGAGCAGGATGGTGATTGGCATCAACCGTTTCCCCTAAGTCCTCATTGTCGTCTTAAGAAAATCTAGGGCTTGGGGCGCCTGGGTGGCTCAGTCGTTAAGCGTCTGCCTTCGGTTCAGGTCATGATCCCAGGGACCTGGGATCGAGCCCCGCGTTGGGCTCCCTGCTCCGCGGGAAGCCTGCTTCTCCCTCTCCCATTCCGCCTGCTTGTATTCCCTCTCTCGCTGTGTCTCTCTCTGTCAGATAAATAAATAAAATCTTTAAAAAAAAAAAAAAAACAGAAAAGAAAATCTAGGGCTTGTACTTATTTACTTGTGATTTAAGCCCAGTATGCCTAAAACAAGGCACAAGCTCTTACAACATTTCTTATCTGAAACTAACTATTAAAAAGATTAGCTGTTTTAAAAATTATGGGTATAAACTGGTTACTCAAAGCATTTAGCAGTTTTAACTCATTCCCTGCTTTCCACTTCCACTGTAGTTACAGCCTGTACTTGGAAAACACTAGCAGAGACACAGACAGGAAACAAAGGTGGGAAAAGAATGAGTTTAAGGATTTCAGGTAGGCAAGGTTTTGGGTTTTTTTTTTGTTTTTTTTTTTAATATATCCTCCTATAGGTATAGTTCAGGACTCTAACTTATTTGTTCATTTATAAGGTAAGTACAGTGCTGCATTTAACTAGAGAATATGCCATAGTTTTTAACAAAGCTAAAACTTTGCTCAAAAATAGTTGTTTTCCTTGCCTCTCAAAGAACGCTGTTTTGAGAAACACTAAAATTTGTAACAACAGAAAATAGGGAGGGGAAAGGCATAATTGTCGCATAATTTTTATTTGTGTATTTTTAAATTCTTTTAATTTTATCATCTTAATATAAACAAGGGAATGGTGGTTTTTAAATTAATGTTTTCTAAAGTTTTTAATTACTACATTTTTTCACTATCAGCTCTGATAATTTATTTTAAAAGAAATAGTGGTTGTGAGAGGCAAGCCCCACTGAACTCAAAACCAAGAAGTCATTTTACTTCTTCGGACTTGGTTTTTCTTCTGTAAAATGGGAAGCCTGGATGAGCAGGTCTCTGCGGTCCTCTGCAGCTCCACCAGTCTCTAGGAGTATATGTTCCACATGTGGAAGAGGTGATGGGAAAGGAACAAAAAACAAAGACGAACAAGCAAAAAGAAAAAGAAAAGGGGAGAGGCAAAAACAGTTTTAGATTAGAAGCTACAAAAGGAGGGGTGAAAACTCTATAGGAGGTTATATAAATGAAAGTAAAAAGTAGACCCACTGAAAATATGATAGCACAAAACAAATTTCTAGTAGGAGGGAGAAGAAAGCCTAGCATTGCAACACGGGGAGTGGGCAAGCTAAACACCTGGGCCCTTCTGTATGACATTTGTATGTGAAGATTTTGAGTCTTCTAATTAAATTCTTTTTAGCTCATGTTCCAGTCATTTTTTTAGAATTCCACTGGTTCACAAGCTACATGACTGCGATTTACCTAATTTATCTTCCTATTTGGGGTTCTTTTTCTCTACAACGTATTTCCTCTGTTACTGTTTTATTGAAGGACCTAACAGGGACTGTTCACTTCCTGGCATTGCAAGTCCAGGCTCCGACCTGTGGTACTTCTTCCCAGTCCTCTTTTATGTTCATCAGACCAATCTCCTCACTGCCAGCTCGGTTTCTACCACTGATAACTGTTGTGTGTTTTGCCTGCTTGCCTACGCCTTACCTTCTCTTTGAGTCAGCTACATTACTCTCGCCCTTACATGAATTTCCCCATTCTGTCAACTTCCACCTTCAGAGTCTTAACTGAATGAATATTGCACTATATATACTGTATTGCTTTAAGTTTTATAGATTATATTTTGGAATAAATTATACTGCAAGTCCTTACAAGAGGGGACTTTGTCTCATTCTACTCTTACATCTTCTTTGGCATTAAGGGTAAATTTTCGCCCTGAGTAAAATCTCAGAATAAAAAACAGTGGCTGATAGTTGATATTTCGGATGTTACTCCAGTTCAGCTTTTCAT